CAGGCTGCATACACCACAAATATTCTAGACTGCTCCGAAAGCTTTTAACCTCAAAAACAAAATAGATTAGGTACTGAAAACACGCTTTTTTCATCTGGAATTACTACTATGTCTCAAGCTTGAACTCGACGTAAAATTTCGTTTAGTGCACGGTTCATTGCACAGACTCACGGAGGACATATAGCATTCTCAATTAGTGGATGTTTAAAAAATGAACGTCAAACAACGGCTCTTTCTCATGTGCCAGTCGAATACATAAATATAAGAGTAGGACGTACAGACCAGCTTTCAATTTCTTATTGTATTTGATTCAGATTTATGAAAAGCCCTACTATACAACTATTACGAGCCCTGACCAATGGATTAACAGAATTTCAATCATCTAAAAAATATGGCTAAAAATAAAGGAATGCTAAAGGACCACATCGTCTTTCCGATGCAGCTTTGATTGAGCTAAAAAATGCATATAGTCTATCAATAGAAGATATTTTTTGTGCCCCGGAATGTAGACATCTACGATGGCTATTTTCGTGTAGGACACGTATTCGCTAATTGTAGCACAAGAATTACCGGCTAAAAAACCCCCCATCTCTGTCTCACGGTTTACGAAAAGTGGGTAGTTGAAAAAATACACTTTTTTAATCGTTCTTTAAATCGTAGTCTTCATAGACTGGCCATAAAGACAACCAATAAACGTAATCTCCCGTGTAAATCTTACTTTTTGCAATTTTTCTGGACACTAAAGTAACGATAAAGTTTTGTAAGATGCTTTGTAAGCCTTGAATGTAGTTCGTTTTCAGATGCGTACTTTCAAGGGTCTCGTGATCTCACTCGAGCCGCTGATAATTACGAAAGTCGTCTTCTCTCCGCGTTTTTTATCCATATTTTCACAGTCCAGTTGGGGTTTCCGTAAATGGAAGTATAACTAGAAAATTTGATACCACTAAAGTTTATTTTCGTATGAACAAAATCAAGTTGATTGAGCTTAGTTGTTAGAACGAGCCTTACAGACCTATTTATGTATATAATAACGTTTTATATTTCGCGCTTGTCAAGCTTAACAGAACTCAGAGGACAAGCAAAACCTTATTAGTAGGTTCCAGCGTCACTTAATTTAATCTATAAAAGCCATCATTTAGACACAGAGCATGGAAAAGATATCTGACTATCTTTACGTTCAGACACGCAATACAAGCGTGTGGCTTTTGCCAAACTGGCCGGAGAAGGTATCTGAAAAAATTATATAAAGAAAAAGGTGATTTTAAACAGAGATCCCGTTATTTTTACGCTTACGGAACATACGTCGTGTGAATGCCGTTTGTTGTGCCTGCCAAATAGATTAAATATCTCTTGCGCTACAACGGTGCTCTTTACGTACCTATCACTGTCTTGCCTTGAAGAAGGCGTTTCTAATCCGTACCAGCGATCCCGTCGTGTTCCATGCCTTTACCAATTCCTGGATACAGCTCATCATTCGAAGAGAGCCAAATCTCGCGCAAATCTTATGTAACGTCTTCGAAACTACTTACTCCTCGCTCGGTCCCTCGTCCATTGGTACCAAATAGAAAACCATTTTACACTAACGATACCATCTGTAAAATGTACTTCTCGTTTTTGTGGACCGCGTTTTAGACATTTCCTCCATTGGTAGATGACTGTGCAGGTATCTCCTGTAGGGAAATGCTAATGAATCTTTATCGTATCTCATAGAAATATCTATACTAATATAAGTTATGTCGGCAAAACGAGCCATTCAGCTTCAGACTTACGTCTGTATGTACAAGCATCTTAGCATGATTGAAAAATACTATCATGACCCACTCACCACCAAATAATAGTTCATTTTTCAATATCGTAGTAAGCACATTGCACTTCTGCGGTAAGTCTCTAAGCGGCTTTTTGTGCATGGCGTGCAAGCATCGAGAGCTTACTGTGTACGGAGTCTCGTTCGACGCGTCGCAAACCTTTAGGAATGATCCCACATCTCGTCGACCGTCAGCTGTTGCGAATGGTCAAAAACGGGCCATATGTCCTTTCCTTCATCAAAATCTGACATCGCTTAGTTTATCTTTATACATTATGAATACAACTTATGTATTGCACAAAGAATTTTACACAGGAAAAAAATCCAATCCAGTAATACATATATATATATATATATATATATATATATAGCATAGAAAGCAGTGGACTATATTTTCCGACTCCTTAAGCTGTATCTCAGTTGTTGCTTTACCGATTGGAAGTTTCTCAAGGGTTTCGCTCCAACGCTACAATTGAGCGGATTATGGATGTCAATCGTAGACCCCAGTGCTAATGCCGGCATTACCGCAAAGTCGCTTTAAAGCCAACCCAAACTGTAAATGTTGAAATTTAGTAGAATAGTTTACTGTGTAAGGCATTGGCTCGATCTTCAGGATATAATAAGTAAAGCTTCTGTTTTTGTATTTTAGTCTAAAACGTTAAAATTTGCCTACGAATAGGGCATTGAAAAAACTTTTTAGGGGCTTCTGCCAGTTAATAGGTCCAACATCATCAAGCATGATTAATAGTAGAATATGTAAAAACGAGATGTTAGAGAATTTCCTTTGTAATAAAACCACCATTTAGCTAGCCTAGTGGTAAAACTGTGGAACTGAATTAAACTTAAATACACACAAATAATATTTAAAAACTTTTTCAACTTGAGAAGAAGTTTCAATTGAAAGCTGAAAAAGTTGCAGTTTGTGATTTATCTAGTTGGATATTGTAGACCATGAAAATCGCAATCCCTGACAGAAGATCTGGACGGAATATTGAAGTAGATTAACATGGTTCATGTTCCTTATTTAGTACTTAGACTACCGCATTATGCAGCAAAAGACATACTCGTCGAGTTAAAAAGACTCTTCAGACTCCTAATCAGAAATGTGTATTTGACAAAAAATATGTAAATTAGATGAACACACTATATGAATTCTCAATGATTTGTTATTACGCATATAATCAAAGTTCCAAAAGTATAATAAGAAAAGGGAAATTGTAATAGAATATACTGCTAAATAAGATTGTTTAAATTATAACGGAATACTTTTCTTAAAAAACTTCGAATATTTCTGTGAGGTACCATTGCATTAGTTCGCTAGCAATATAGCATATAGTATCAAGCCTGAAAACTTCGCAGTGTCTTTTATATAAGCATTAAGTTTTTCGCGCGAACAACTCAGACTAAAAGCTTCTTACAGATTTCCTTAAAAAACGAATAGTCGGCATAAATACAGCTCGGAGCAAAAGTATTACAAAATACGAAGGCACTTAACAGCGGAAACCAGGGAGTTAAATCTTCCATCGTCTCGCACAGGCATCATTGAGCGCCGTGGTAGATTCAATACCACAGTCCTGAGCAGGTTGATCCTCATAAAGGAATGAAGTATCAAGCCAGACAGGTTTCTTATTGCGTACGGCAATCTGTTAACTTTGCTTTATGCCAATATCGAACAATTGTCCACTTTGCTTTGACACAACAAAGTGTTCTGTATAGGGGCAAACAGCGCATGGAATCTGTATCATACAGATATACCATTGTTCTCCTATATCAGCGTACAAAAAAAATGTTCTGGAGATCATTTGAGCTTTACACGTGCACTAGTTACATTCGATTTATATACGCACTTGCGTTGAGTTTTAATTCTTGCTTAGCACGATCGATATGACGATCCATAAGAGGAAACCTTCCGTCAGAGTGCGACATTATTAAGCGCTTATTACATTATTATATTATTATAAGCGACATTATTAACCTGCCCAAGCAGGTTTCTTTTCCAGTGCATTTACATCCTGAATGTATTTAGTACCTATCATAAAGGACCGACAGTATTTCATGCCTATCTATCATAAAATCCATACAGGGGAAAATGTGCTTATAAGAGTTCGTGATGCGTATCCAAATAGGACAACGACCGAGAGTCATTTAAAAAAAGTTCGTGGCCGTTTAAATGCGCCAATTTCTTAACAACGCCAGATAGTTATGAACTGCGCACAGTGGGGTTTTTGCATACTAGTTATTGTAAAGTAAAATAGGGAGCTAGCAGCTGCTGCACTAAAAAGAAATTACGGTCAGGTAATCAAATAGACAGCTCAACAACCAATGCATATATAAACACCACCCATAGGGGATCCACATTCCTTCTAAATAACTGTAGCCGTTCTGCAATATTATCCTGCAAGATCGTGTAGTAACCACAAGTTTACAAGGCCAAAAGTTAAGCGCAGTTGCAATTTCAGTGACACCCAAAGTGGATCAACTCATTTCATCGCCTCGGAGGAACTGTCCAAAGTTCATTAACCCAAATTACTTCATCTGCATTTTGTGCATGTGTTCCTTGGTACTAATGCAGCATTTACAAAAACATGTTGAAATTAAACTACATATTTCTTCTTTTTTGTCTCCAAATACCCGAATATTTGTTTCCTTCCCTATTGTTGTCCCATTTATACAGGCTGAAGGGCTGGATAAAAGCAATTTTGATAAGGTCGTCAAAAATTAAAGTTTGTAACTTCAGCAGAACCTACGTTCTTTTGGATATAATTTAGATTTGTATAGACGTACCTCTACTAGGCCATTTCTATTATTCGTCACGATACCAACTATGCCTAATTTGATACCGCACTTTTTACTATGACCTATAAAACTGACCTTACAATTGGTATTCGCTGTTTTTGAGCATTCTTCCCTTTCTGACATATTTACAACAAGACTTGCATTATCAGTTTTGAGATCACTTGGAGCATTGGATGGTTGCGATAATAGACTTTTTTTTTTATCACATCTGTTACTCCTATATATAGTATACCCTTCCTTTAGCTAGCTTTAATGAAATGCCAAGTTTCTTCAGAATGTGTACGGAATTTCACGTTTTCAAGGTATGTCATTGCAAGTTAGAAGAAAATCAAAATATATAAGTGAATATCGCGCGGAATACACAGTTCTGGTTAAAACAACTTCGAGCGATGTATGTTCGAGGTTTTTATTAAGATTTGAAGCTGTAACAGTTTTCTTCAGGTAGGAAATTTCAATATTATTGTAATTTCTTTGATATTTGGACCGTAGAGTAAAATCGCATAACAATATAAAATAACAAGGTTATCTTAAAATGAAGGTGTGTAATGAATAGTTTTAAAATTGGGAAAAAAAAACGTATATTTTTTATTTTAATCGTCTCTGGTGTTAAAAAGTAAATTTCAATTTGTTGCAGAAGAGAGGAAAATACTAATAACGCGAGTTTGTTGTATGTACATTGTATACTTTATTAGATAATAATAATAAGAAAAATATAACTGGTAAACATAGCATTAATAATTCAACCAGCATTCATTTATATATAACGAATTTTAAAGTACGGTCGCGGCCATATCTTACAGCTTATATAGGCCTGAGTACACCTGTAATATAACTTTTTTTGTTTATACATTACGCGCTTTACCTAATTCTTTAGTAATTTTTTTCTTTTTGTACAAAGGTATCATTGTCAATTCCCCCGTATGTATATATAGGAGCTTAAATCAGGAATTACAGCCGGCGTTATTTGAAGGGCTACACCGTAATTTAGGCACGCAGTAAAAGAAGATGCTGATTCTTTCATATTCACACGGTTCTGTGTTTCTTTATCCGGCAATGAGTACAGAAAAAGCCGGCATTCCAACTATGTAGTTGTGTGTTCCATTAAACTTTACACAGAAAAATTTTGTATGTAGGCCATTAATCACTCTCTGATCCACTGGAACCAAATATCTGTTCCTTGTCGCCTCTCTCCCGTCCACTTCCGCGGTCGGAACCACTACCATACCCGCCCGATCCTCCGCTCCTGGCTGATGAGGACGAATCAGACCTACTTCGGCTTTTGCGGCTGCCACTTCCGCTACGACTCCGGCTTCTAGCGCTGCCACCGCCTGCACTAGCCGACCGACTCCTTGAGCGACTTCTCGACGCAGCGGATTGCGACCTTGATCGCGATCTCGACGCGCTTTTCGATCCTGAACGAGATCTGGACTCACTCCGCGACCTCGAGCCTCGCGATTTTGAACGTGAGCGCGATGCATCTCTAGATTGTCGACTGGAGCGGCTGCTACGGCCACTACGCCCGCTCTGTCCACTGCGTACGCTTTCCTTGTCAGACTCTTTGTCTTCCTGAAAGATGTAATGATAGGCAAAAAAACATAATGATATTCTTGACTTTGCGAGTTAAGCCTACGTGTGTATTTATTTTGTACTAGAGTCCTACGACTAAGAAAAATTGTAATAAACAAAGAAAATTGATGTGTTATTCTTATTATTTGTTTTCATTATTTAAACTAACCGGAAAGTAAGTTCTACGGAGCAGCAAAGTTTCAACATAGCTAGCTTGTATAAACAGTAGTACTACATATCCAGCACTGCATTCGGTTACGGCAAGTAAAATATTGTTTACTTTATCTGGTCGTTCGTCGCCCTTATGCTGAGTAGCATCGTTGGCCTCTTTGTCGTCGCCATCCCTCTGCTGTATCCCGCCCTCATCAGCTTCTGCCTCATCGTCATCTTCCTGCTCTTCATCTTCGTCGTCGTCGTCTTCGTCGCTTTCTTCAGCTGGCGGTTCAAGCTGCGATAGCCGCATTTGCTGTTGACGGTGCTCATTCTCGTTGAGAACGCGGTGTTTCACTACAAGCTTCGAGTTGTTTGGCGCCATGCCAGGTTTGAGTCGCCGTTTACTTAGACGAACTCTGGAAAATTGATGAAAGAAGAATAAATAGCAAATGCAAATATAAATTACTAAACGTATTGCAAATTCGCAAATATTTGCTGGAAGTGTTTCGGTATTATTTCAGTACAGATGAATTCTAAACAAATGACAACTGCGTCATGGGATTATAGCTCGGAGTTATAGTGAACGAAAAACGCAAGTGTAATTCCATCTTTTTAAGTAATAGATGTTTGGGTTGAGCAATTTAATTAGCTACCTCGTCTCAAGCTCGTTGTAGAATACACCATTTTGTCGAAATACGAAGAAGTAATTTTCTTCGTAGCCAGTAGATGTTTTATTTTTGACGTTCCAGTTGTACTCGCGGGTCATCTTGTAGTCATATTCCTCTTCGTCGCGAAACTCTACGCCCGCCTCATGATCTTCAGAGCGTTTACGCAAAGTTTCTTCTGTAGGCATGAAGTATGCAACAAACTGTTCTCCACTCTCATCCATCACACCTCGAATCATCGCCTGAGACATCTCGTCCGCCTAGATTGTTAATCATACGACTCAATTAAGATCTTTAAAAGCACCTTATTAACCACAAGGAATGGTTTAAGATAAACCTAAAGCAAATAATTAGTGCGTCTTAATATCCTATAATAGGCATCTCTTTACCCTCGTTCCGTATACAACATACATGAAACGTGTTACGGTTCAATTTAGTTATGTAGTAAGCACAAAAATATGCTAACTTTTAATGACTTTAGCCCTCTTTTGTACACACTATACACACCTGTGTGATAGGAGCCGGCTCATTGTCGAAAAGGACCTGCGCGAAAGGAAATTTCCACAGATCGAAGTCTGGGAACAATGGCAAAACTTCGACAGGCGTAACATTCGCTTTCGAATAGTGTTGTGTGATCGGCTTTTGCGCCTCCTCGAAGGTCTTGTTTATGGCCTCTACCTGCGATTCGCGGTCCATATAAAGCGATCTCTCGTTGAACATCTTCTTAACGTTGTAGCCTACCTTCGTTTCTGTGTTTACGCCCGACTGTCCGTAGCGTGAAAACTCAGTGGCAATGTATTCAGTCTTTTTCACCCAAGGTATGACCATGTTGTGAAGTCGTGACCGCTTTGAGTCGGCGGGCGTAATAGGCTCCTCCTCAAGAATCTTCTCGTCATCAGGATGCAAGGTGACATCTGGAATCGATCACAAGCATACATATTAGGTGCGTCGTTATATTGTTAGCAGGTAATATAAAATTTTGTAAGGATGAACGCGATGCAGATGATATGCACTAGATTTCTATACAATGCGTAGAAAGTTTAGGGACTGCGAAATGTCACCACGGCCTTATTGAAATGCATGTTGACTTTGACCTGTATAACTTATATACCTTCACCTGGCGGTAGGGCGTACGTGTCAGGGTTAATCAGATCGATAGTCACTCCAAGATCGTGTTCCGTTAACAGGTCATATTTGTATCCAGCCTCAAGGGACGTACTCTTATATGAGACGAATCGTTTACTCTCGAACGGAAAGGTCAGGAACTTTGGATCAAACGGAATATCTGGCAAACTGTTACAGTACTTTACTCTGCACAAAAGATCCGACCTGAAATATCACAAAATAATTACGTTTATCGTACAATTGTCGATCTCGAATTTCCGAGTTTAGTGGATACTAATAAGGTAACCATACTTAGGAAGTCACATTTTACATTTTTGGTGGATCGTCCATTTAATGCATGCATGTTTGTGTTGTCCAGTTAGTTCATCAGCGTCGCGAAATTATCTACAACGATATAAAAGTGCGGATCGTGTTTTATGGCAATCCTGTTATTACGATAACGTTTTAAATCACTCTTAGATTATCCTTTGGGATTATAGCAGGGTAAGTAAGCTAAAACGGGAGAGGTGTTGAGTGAGTTAAACTTGAGTTATACTAATACTGAGCTAGACAATGCTTTTTACATCTTGGAATTATCATACGGTGTAAAATCTTTGTGAGAATAAACAAATATATACAGTTTTATTCACATGGCGCAGTAAAGGTTGCCGTTGATAACCTTATATATATATATATATATATATAAGGGTTGCCCAAAAGCGAATTACGGAACCAGAATCGTGCATTAGTATCGTATCTCTATGAACATGTTTCTAATGATTAGGTAATCCGCTAAAATCTGTTTACCTCTTTTCCGGCGGAGGACGTCGAGTGGGTGCACCTCTACTCTGCGGCGAAGGTTGAATTGATGGCGGCATTTTACCTTCGATCCGAGCCAAAAAAAGGATCTAGGCAAGCTTTATGTTAACACTGTCACAGAATGCCGATGACCAAATAGCGTAAAATTAGATTTCTTTAGATACAATTTCACTACTGTCACGACACCACACTTATATCAACAGTCCCACCATCGCCGCTCATCTCACCGGTGGAATCGAAGTGCTCGTTTATATTCGCAAACACTTGGCTGCATATCTAGACCGGCTCCTCCTCTCCGCAGAGAGTACGCGCCAAAATTCAACCACATTTTTGCTTGATTTTCATAGTCTGAAACAGCATTACTGAGACACATTTGCGATAAATGCGTTATGTCGTAGAATAACTGATATTAAGATTATCATTGAGTACTAAAAGAAACTACGATACGTTCTCTTTTTGCCTTTCTTAGCCGGCTTCGATTGTTTTTATTGCATTGGGAAGGGTCAACTCGGAGTCACGCTCTGTATCTATACATTAAGCAGAGTTTCAGGTGGTCGAATGCAAAGAATATTGAATCGACGTTTCAGTGCTGGCTGTAAGCAGAAGAATTCTCTGAGCATAGATTACAATTGCTTACAAACACTAGTAGCGCGGTGGTAATGTGTGACAGTTGGCAGTGAGTGAAGAAAAAGCGTCATGTACGTCTCGTACAGATATTTAGTTGAATAAACGTGTTCGCGCTGGTCGTGGCCATACTCAATGGTGGAGTTTGCAGGCATCGAAGAGGACGTAGCCAAAATGGAATCTTCGAACAAACAGACGGAGCAGAAGGTCACCCCTTGGACAGTCGAAACTCATTCAAACACCGGAATCGACTACGATAAACTTATCAGTACGTATCATATAAGGTCTCATGTGCACTCATAAAAATAACAGTAGAAAACAAGAAATATATTAGACACTCTTAAACAGTGGACTTTGAAAAGTTTAAAAGTTCATTGGAACTTTATGGACAAGCTCTCTCTTACTGCAACTTCAGTCCATTCGGCTCAGACGGTTGTTACCGATAAACTTCGGTAAGGTTTCCGTTATCCTGTACCCCGTAAATCAACGCTAACTATGATTTATAGCAAATTAGGGAGAATGAAAAGCTCGAGGCGCAGCAGAAAGTTTTCACATATTTTGCGAATACTGTAGAAATAGTATACAAAGACAGCATGAAAATTGCAGACAGAAATCAATGAGAGTTGGCTGAATTGTGTCACGCTTATGACCAGATGTGGGTAAAGAACATAATACATAATACATCTTTACATACTGTAAAGACCCGCTATAGTATTTGGAGCTGACGCAATGTGCGGTTTTATGTATGACTTGTTAAGGAGACTTGGGCCAATAGGTACAATGGAGCACATAGTTTTGTTTCCGTAATTTAGATATTTCGTACAATCTGTGGTCTTGATCATATAAGACCTTGATGCCGAAGCAAATTTACCCAACAATTACTATAGAATTACTGTTAATCACGTTTTGTCAAAACGTTGTTAAATATAAGTGATTTAAGAGCCTAAGGGAGATATTTTGGCTTGACTCAAATGGCCGTCTATGAGAGGATATAAAGGTGCTAGATAATGATATTAACTGTATGCGTTCGGCCCGCTGGGGTGTTTTAACTAGAATGTAATAAAAAAAATAAACATGTTGGTCAATTCAAGCGGGTTCCTCCGTCTTATGTGTTTCACACGTTGCATCATCGTGGTGATTGCTAGAAGTCGCTAAGGTGTTTTAAAACTAGAAGTGGATACACATAATTCAACCGTCTCTGTGCATAACTGTCCCAGGCCATTTCGTGTCTAAAATGATGACTTTTGATAGTAGTGGGTCAAATGAAGGTGCAATTTATCGACGCATCAGTCTGAAAAAGCGTGGCAACAGAATCGACTACACTCTCTAATTCTAATAATGAAACGGCCATTTGTTAGGGAGAAGCAACCTGGCTACTCTTCCCTAACCTGTCTAAGAAAGTCTAAGCGATTCTTCTTGATTTGTTAATTAGTCAAACGTGTGCTGAGTTATATATTCCATGTTTATGCATATTTTTTATTACGAGCTTGGCAGGGTTATTTATCAGAATATTATTATTATGCTAGATAATTATGCTATTACGTATAAACTGAAGAAAATAAACATCTGCATTGCGAGGCTAATTATTTGTTGAAATTTAGAGACTCACTTACGCGTTTGGTGAGACAGCATTAGCTCAAAATCCGTTATTTTATAGAAATACATATGATGCGCAGTAGTGACTCTACTACAAATCGCTATTCAAATGGGATTATCGAGACGAATTTATAAACGAGCAGAGGCGTTAAAGGCAATGATTGTCATATTGCGCTATGACATCTAATATCCGGGGTTCCTATCGTCTTGTCTAATTGTAGTCCAATTTGGTTCGCAAAAGATCTCGCCTGACCTGATCGAACGCCTCGAAAAACTTACCTCTAAGAAAGCTCATCACTTCTTGAGACGTGGCATCTTCTTTTCGCATAGGGAATTCAGCGAGATCCTCACGAGATATGAACAGAAGAAGCCATTCTACCTGTACACAGGGAGAGGACCCAGCAGCGAGGCTCTTCATATCGGGCATCTTATTCCATTTATCTTTACCAAGTAAGTCATCTTTACTTGCCATCGTGTTTCCTAGTTTTAACCCCGTACGTACCATGAGACATCGTTAGAGAAACACTTAGTTTTTGTTTCGGTGTTTTTGACCATTCTGGACTGTTTTTATTGTATAAACAAGTTTTTGAAATCACCCAGTATAGCATCAAAAACTTGTTCCCGCCAGAAGTTCTAGCCAGGGTAGGTTTTACTAGTTCTACCTAAAGTCTGTCCAACAGAATTAGGAAACGACATGGAAACTATTTGTCATATTAAAAATTTACCAATGCTAAAATTTGAATTAGCGATGGCCGTATATTGGCATTCTGTTACGCCTGCCTTTATAGTATAAGCTGTGTTTATGCCGGAAAAAATGGAAGCAAAGCACACAGAGGCAGAAATTTAAGCGCTTAATTGTGTGTAGTATAGCTTCGACCATCTCGTTTCCGTTAGATTGAGATTTAAATAATATCAAAATTATTGTACGGCGTTCAACGGAGCTCAATGGTCTGTCAGCGTGCGTATTTTTTTTCTAATTTACCTAGATTTTTTCTCTTGCATATGTTCCCGGAGATTAAATGGGTAGGCCACCGCCATACAAGTTCAAGGTTATTCCAGCCGTTCAATCTTTCCGTCAATCAACCGTCGTTAGAATAATGACACAGGTATCGAATGCACTAAGTTAAAGAACTGGTAACATGAGGTAAACAATAAAACAAAAAAAAAACGGTTCCACTGATAATTATTTCCACTCGCCTCCTTGTGGGAAATTTGGAACCGCCAAAAAGTAAGTGGCCAAAAGAAGACGACCATTGCCAACACCTGACGCCGGCACTTCATCCCATTATCGCCATTGACCGTGGTATGCCATACTTGCTGACTCCAAACGAATCATTGTCCAAGACGAACAATGTTGCCGCGTTGTTGGTGCTCTTGACCTAGACTGAGGCACGAATGAAGGCACGAAGTGTTCAGTAAGTGAAGAACAACTTCGGCTTTTGTAATTGATCATGTGACCATTATAATTCATATCGTAAAGTTTCTTTGTTTTGTTTTTGTCATGCTTGTCAAACGCTGGTTTGGCCGATCGTATATGATGCCTTTGCAGCAGATGATCTTTATCTAACGAACCTCGGCGGATATAGATGAGCAAATTGGTGGAGTAATAAAACAGAAAGGACTTTGAAGTTCCAACCCTTTATTTATCTTAATAGGACTTGAAGGATTTATTAGTAAAGTATTTATACACGTCCATACAATTTTCTTAAACGAAGCTACGTTGATAGTTAAATAGAGGGGATTCAACTTCAAGGGGATTCAAGGAACTAAGCTGTTCTTTGGTAACAAAAGTAAGTATATAAATCCGAATTGAAGCTACGATCGGTGCAGACACTCCGGGTGGTCTAGTAAGATTCTCGCGTAGAAGTTAGTTTGACATGTTATAGGCACTAGCATGGCGTTAGATTCAGAAAATTAGGGTCGTTCTTCGGTCTCGGAAGCGCCCCATAAGGGTCACTCAAGCCAGTGCCCTGGTACAAAAACCAAGTCAACACAAGCAGCGATGTCACATCAGCATGTCAGAAATGGTTATCATTTTCTCTGCCTGTCTGTTTGCTTGGCTATATGTATACGTTAGCAAGGCAGAACTACAATTTGCATTGATTGCAGTTACACTAAAAACGCTACGCTACGAAATGTGCCAGTCAATTTTACCAACATTAGATATCCAGTTCTAAATAAGTGAATACATTAGAAAAAGAAAACCTGCTATTGTCAGTTGCACACACAGCTATTCCTTAACCCCTCGAATTGTTCCAGGTGGCTTCAAGAGGTGTTCGAGGTGCCCCTTGTAATTCAACTTACAGATGATGAGAAGTTCTACTGGAAGGATCTGACAGTTGAACAGACCACACAGATGGCCAAAGAAAACATGAAGGACATTATCGCCTGCGGATTTGATCCGGACAAGACATTTATCTTTACAGACTTTGAATTCATGGGGTATGGACTTTCTGATTATCAAAATTAATTTCAACAGCTATAATTCATTGTCGAACTGTGAAAGCATTACCTGTAATTTCATACGTACTATACATTACCTTTGTATGGATCATTATATCATCATGCACTTTGTTGCGCGTATTTGCCAATTGTATTATAATAACCGGTGATTTAGTTTTGGCTAGGTAGTAACATGGATGGAATTTATAAGAGTACCTACACAATAGTATTTTGTTTACTGTGTTAGTTTAACATTGTGTAGTTCATAAGGTATGCAGGGCCCTTGTATGAATTTGTTTGTTCTTTGTGTGCAGACCACCGTTTTACCGGAACGTAGCGCGAATTAGAAATTGCGTAAACTACAATCAGGTGCGATCCATCTTTGGTTTTACCGATTCGGATTCGATCGGAAAGATCTCGTTTCCTGCTATCCAGGCTGCTCCAGCTCTGTCAACGTCGTTTCCATTTATTTTCGGCGATAACAAAGACGTGCACTGTCTCATTCCGTGTGGTATCGATCAGGTATATCTTAATTGTAATCCAGGATCAACTAGCAACATTGTGAGATTGAAAGTGAGAAACACGATACGGTAGCGTACTGGCTTAACCAACAATACTCATAGGATGCCTTTAAAATAAGCAATTTAATATGTAAATTGGCATCGCCTGAAAGTAGTCTGGACCCAAACATCACAAAACATTAATTGTCTGCCAGAAATGTTAAACAAGCAATTAATGAACACTTTTGCTTGATACTTTACAGGACCCGTACTTCCGGATGACACGTGATGTAGCGCCACGGTTAGGCCATCCTAAGCCAGCGTTGCTTCATTCGGTCTTCTTCCCGGCACTACAGGGCGCTCAGACAAAGATGTCCGCTTCTAATCCGAACTCGTCAATATTCCTTACTGACACTGAAAAGCAGATTAAGAATAAGGTTAATAAGTACGCGTTTTCGGGCGGCGGGGATACAATTGAAGCGCATCGCGAAAAAGGTATGTTTGTTCTATAATCTAGCATTGCTCAGGGTTTTAATGGTTATCCATAGGGAACAGAATGTTTTTCATAATGCACAATAAAACGATTTAGCATCAAGGTTCATAACTTTGGTTGAACGAGTTTTGTAGGCTAGAATTAAATAAGGTTGTTAAATAAATAATAATTTTCTATATCTGTACCTTAGGAGGTAACTGCGACGTTGATATAAGTTTCCAATATTTGCGCTTTTTCCTTGAGGATGACGACCGGTTGGAACAAATCCGTAAAGATTATACCTCGGGCGAACTATTGACGGGCTACCTTAAAAAGGAACTCATAAGTAAGTGCATAATTTACATTTATTACTTCGTGCTATGTAATAATAATTATATTATAAGAAGGGCAAAATAATACTGCTATTCTTCATCCATACTTTAGAAATTTGTGCGTAATTACAGCTGTCGATTTTAAGCGGATGCTTGTTTCTTTGACTTATCTCTTTGCAGATGTACTTCAAAAGATGATCAAAGATCACCAAACAGCTCGGGCCGCTGTCACTGACGAGGTGATTAGAAAATTCACCACCAGGCGTCCCTTAAAATTTACAAATTGAAGCTGTTTTTGAGCCATCCTGTCGTTGTCTGTATCTACGGTGCGATTCATAGCTCGTGCAACTAATTCGTTCCTTTGACACACAACATGATACATAGGCATTGACTTCGATACAGTATGTCCTATTTCATTGTTTGCCCTATCTCAATATAGCGCACCATTTATTTGAAACGATCTTAAATGTTGTCATTACTAGCATTAGTTAACTTACGAACAGTAATTTTTAGGCCTTGACAAAGTATTTTTGTTAATATGCTTGAATCTGACGCTTACCTATGCGCTCTGAGCGAAACTTAGAGATCAGGTCGTCATAATGGGTCGGCATAAAATATGACTGAATGATCGCTTTACTGGATCATGTCAGAGGACGTAGAATTACGACTAATCACGGTCACTACCTAAGAGCAGCACTATAAAATGATGGCTCCAAAGCATACGATGAAACGAATCGCAGGCTGTTTCAGAAAAAAATTGCATACTAAGCTAAGTTCCCGATGCGATTAACATGAATTAATTTTATGAGTAGTGCATACTTGCTCTTACTGGTTAAACTATGCTACCACAGCGATGGACAGCGTCGTCTGTTTCGAAAGTGATAGGAAATTTGACTACCTGATTCAGTGGTACTTCCCTGCCATGTATACAACAGGCGACAATTCGTAGATTAAGCCATTAGATCTCTTTAATGTTTTTTGCACTAACTGAGATAAAAAAAAAAAATAGAGGAATAAGGCTGCGAGTTTCGGTTTCCCAAGATACCAGATGAAATATTCTTGGACAAATCAAATTTTCTTATGAAGCTTACAAAGAGCTAAATACAGTAGAGTACGAGTGCAACTCCACAAGATGTATGAATAAGCATCGGCTTTTATTTATAGCAGAGATAGGTAAAATATATAAATGCCGTGTCGATATAGAGCTGGATACATTTCTGGTCTTAAGATAAAGAAGTATTACTACAAATTGGATTTTACAAGTATATTACCAAATATAATATAACCATTATAGAATACTGTCCTTATTTTATAGCGGCTATATTATTCTTATTTGATAAGTAGTTGAATTGCTGGATTTTGTTGTGTCATGTTCTGAGAAGATTGTAGAGTACTTCAATCTGTAATGTAAAGTAATCCGAGGATATGAAAAAAACATACATATGTAAATTTTTAATATAGTTCATTGAACGAATCATAGAAAAGAAGCTTGCGAGCATTTACTATAATGCAATTATGGCCTAACGGTTAAACAGTTGTTAATCTAGCTCACATGAAAACTGTCACGAGCGATTCATGCTTCCGCCGTGTAAGTAATAAGCGCATTATTCTAACCGAATTAAAGTTAGCTACTTTTCTACATAGTGGCAATTGTTGCTAACGTGTTCTGAGAATAGAATCAGCACATAAGTCAGTTTAATCTAGAATGATTTTTCATGTTTGAAACGCTTGCACATTATAGTACTCAGATACGTTTACCATCAAGTTTTTCTGCCGATGTCTGCGTGTACCCTTTACTTGAGGCGACGCGCAACAGTTGCCCACGTTAATACAAATAAAAACATCGTTTCACAAAATACTGATATACGATCTATATATTACAGGCATTAAGAATCGCACTGCTTTCCTTTTTGAATTTCTTGCACTTGACAAAATTCTGTCAACAGGATGTGCAATTTATCTTTAATAATTCCATATTCTTAAAGTAAGCGGTTTAAACAATAAGATTTATCTTAAACAAACAAAGGGGAGATTTTGCCCCGCGTCCCTTCATCAATTGTATAGTAGTTTTGTTCCAATAGTCGGTTATATTCTGGTGTGCTTTACAAGAGTCTGGCTGCCAAAAGGCTTTTAAGTATTACAAATAGATGAACTTGCTACCTCTGCGTACCTCTGAATATGCGAAGAAAACTTCGTCAACCGTTGCATTGTATAAGATTACATGCATCATTAATAATGTCTACAACATAAAACTAAAAACGATTATGAAAGTATAACCTAAAAATTACGGATTACCATTGGTTAAGGGTATCGCTTACATTACCGCTAGTTTAGTTTCATCAAAGTTTGTGAATACGCTTTTAACAGTCCAAGCCTTTATATTAGAGTAGTCTTGCTCACTTATTGGCAATTTGTCCAGGATAAACTGTGTATGAGTCATTGAAGAGCATTGAATCTATTACGTTCTTTGTATGTGTACTTGCGTCAGAGAAAACAAAGCCGGGGGTATTGCGCGTAATAAGGGCACGCGACACACATGATCTTGTGCACGATACCTAAGCTGAACGCGGTACTGAGCAGTAGCCATAAATGTATAGTACCAGTCTCACTGTCAGAAACTTTTAGCTTCTAGATTATACAAGCATTTGTTCTCTTAAAGAAGTCGTTACATTTTTATCTAATACATTTCGCAACAGACTCAACATAAGGCAAATGGTAAATCATCATTCGGTCTTAAAAAAAAAACATTAATTACGAATCGTCAGTTGTCTTGCAAGCAATGCGTACGTTTCTCTGATGGCTTTTCGTCTGTCGTGCAGGATAAAAAATCATTTTATATTCTAATATAAAATGAATGATAAATATAGAGTTAGTCAAATTGGCACTGGTCCATACAATGGGCTTTTTTGAAACTTAAATTATGACATAACTGACAAACAAGTGTAATTTTGGTAGTTAAACTGGAAGTGGGTGGAAGACTTTCGATATGCGTGCGTTAAGCATAATTTTGAAAAATTTGTTGAGAGTAATCCATGACTAGACATTGTGTATTATTCTGTTCAGTAGTTAATCCGTCATTTTCATATACCATCCCAGAATCTTTGTGTGCGACGATTTTTTTTGAAGTATTTTACTTAGTGCAAGAAAATGCAAATAAGTTCATCCTAACAATTTGTTATTTGCATTTTCTTGCACTAAGTAAAATACTTCAAAAAAAATCGTCGCACACAAAGATTCTGGGATGGTATATGAAAATGACGGATTAACTACACAGAATAATACACAATGTCTAGTCATGGATTACTCTCAACAAATTTTTCAAAATTATGCTTAACGCACGCATATCGAAAGTCTTCCACCCACTTCCAGTTTAACTACCAAAATTACACTTGTTTGTCAGTTATGTCATAATTTAAGTTTCAAAAAAGCCCATTGTATGGACCAGTGCCAATTTGACTAACTCTATATTTATCATTCATTTTATATTAGAATATAAAATGATTTTTTATCCTGCACGACAGACGAAAAGCCATCAGAGAAACGTACGCATTGCTTGCAAGACAACTGACGATTCGTAATTAATGTTTTTTTTTTAAGACCGAATGATGATTTACCATTTGCCTTATGTTGAGTCTGTTGCGAAATGTATTAGATAAAAATGTAACGACTTCTTTAAGAGAACAAATGCTTGTATAATCTAGAAGCTAAAAGTTTCTGACAGTGAGACTGGTACTATACATTTATGGCTACTGCTCAGTACCGCGTTCAGCTTAGGTATCGTGCACAAGATCATGTGTGTCGCGTGCCCTTATTACGCGCAATACCCCCGGCTTTGTTTTCTCTGACGCAAGTACACATACAAAGAACGTAATAGATTCAATGCTCTTCAATGACTCATACACAGTTTATCCTGGACAAATTGCCAATAAGTGAGCAAGACTACTCTAATATAAAGGCTTGGACTGTTAAAAGCGTATTCACAAACTTTGAT